CAAAATCTGGCTCATAGTCAATTCATACTATTCTCTTTAACAGATTATTTAAATGTTTAATATTTGTTTTTAGAGCATTTTTGCGTTAAAATAGTTGAACAGAGTACAGGGTTTCCTTGTATCTTTTTCATCTCACAGCCTATTACTAACATCTTGCATAATGTGGTACATTTGCATCTAAGAAGCCAATTTGGATACATCAGTATTAACTGACGCCCACAGTTTACATTAGGGTTCACTGTGTTGTACAATTCTATGGGATCTGACAAATGTGTCATGTATCTACCATTACAGTATCATACAGAATAGTCTCATCCTAAAAATCGTGTGCCCACATTTTCATCCCTCCTCTCCACCCTGAACCCGACAAAAGAACTACTACATAACTTCATACAGTGTATCTTTTCTAGACTGCCTTCTTTAAATTGCATGCATTTAAGGTTATGCAGTTATTTTTAGAGTTTTAATGGTTCATTTCTTATTGGCGAATGGTACTCTGATGTACAGAAAGGCAGTTTCATCCGTCCATCTAGGAAAGGATGCTGACCTTCAGCACAGCAGAAATAACATCACATATAATGCAGATGAGTAATGAGGTAGAACATTCTTGCTTCCTGATGTTTAATGTAGGAAAGCATCTAATCTCTTAATGTAAAGTATGATGTTAGCTGCAGATCAGGTTTTCTATACCTTTTTAAACAGTCAAGGGTCCCCCACACACATTCCTAGGCTGAGTTTTAACTATGAATGGTTCCTGATCTTAGTAGGAAATCTTTGAGTTTCTCACCATTAAGTGTGATATTAGCTGTAGGTTTTTTGGGTCTATTCTTTATCAAGTTGAGGAAGTTCCACGTCTACTCCAAGTTTGCTGAGCTGTTTTTCTTTTTAATCATGAATGGGAACTGGATTTTTGCATTTATTGATATGATTATTTTTCTTAAGAAGCCTCTTGATGTGGAGTATAGGGATTGATTTTTGAAATGAACCAGCTGGCCTACCTGGGATAAATTCCATTTGGTCACTGCACACAATTCTTTAAATACACCATTGAATTCAATTACCTAATATTTTGTTGAGGATTTTAACATCTATATTGCCTGTAGCTTTCCTTTCTTTAATATCTTTGCCTGACTTTGTTATTAGGGTAATGCTCACCTCATAGATGAATTAAGAATATTCCCTCTGCTTCTATGCTCTGGAAGAGATTGTAAACTAGAAAATTTTCTTCCTTAAACATTTGGTAGATTCACCAGAAACCATCCAGGCCTGGTGTTTTCTGTTTGGAAGGTCATTAATTATTGATTCATTTTCTTTTCCACAGATAGACCTATTCAGATTCTCTATTACTTTTTGTGTGATTTTTGGCAGGTGTGTTTTTCTAGTAATTGGTCCATTTCTTCTGTATTTTCAAATTTGTGGACATAAAATGGTCCACAATATTCCTTCACTATCCTTTAAAGCCATGGGATATGTACTGATACCCCTTATATATAATACTGCTAATATTAGCAATTTCTAACTTTACTCCCCCTCCCTATAGGTACCCTGACTAGACACAATTTTACTGATGTTTTTCAAGAGCAAGTCTTTGTTTTTCTGCCATTATTTTGTTTACTGGTTGTTTTTTTGTTTTCCTATCTTTCTACAGGTAAACTGTTTTGTTTTTTTAAAGTGCAGTGTTCTATTTTGATGTATTGAAAATGGCTGAGGGTTTTTTAGAGCTGCCCTAGTGGGTGCTCTACATATTACACTGTATATGCACAGCTTATCATGGTCTAATTGTGTCAACATTTCATCAGTTTGTGTCAAGTACAGTATAGGAGCCTGACCTCATGTCCCTTTACTCTCCAGTATTTATAACTGTCAATCATTTATTCAACATACACTGAAAGCCACAAAAGATAGTTAAAATTTTGCTTCAACAGACATACTTGGAAATCTCGTGTTTATTGTATTTACCTGTTTTTTTACTTTTTGTTGTTAAATCATTTCCTTGGTCTCAAAAACTTCCTTTAGCCATTCTTTTTCTTGGGGAAGGAGTAACTGAGGGGCACTGAGCTACATCCTCAGCCCTTTTTTGAGAGAGTCTTACTAAATTGCTAAACTGCCCAGACTAGGTTATAGCTTGTCCTGCCTCAGCTTCCCAGAGTGCTGGGATGTCAGGTGTGTGCTATCTCGCCTGGCTCCCTTTATCCATTCTAGCAGGCAGTGAGTTCTCTGGTTTTCTGGGTCAGCTTCAATCCCCAGCACCACATGAAAAAACAGCAACAAAAGAAGCCAGGTTTTCTCAAATATAAGATGTCACAGATTGTAAAATTCACCAGTAAGAAAACTACTGTAAATTTTCAGAAATATCTTGATTTCAGAGAAGCTACAATGTGAAAAACTATTCACTAGTATCTGTGAAATTAATGAATACTGAAATCAACAGGCCAAGATTATAGTGACAGCTTCAGATATGTTCAAGAGCAGATCAGAGCATAATTCTGAAGCTACTATCAATTCTACACTGAAAACATTTTCCCCTAAACACTAAAGTTTTATTTCCAAGCTTACAGGTTACTGTCACAAATCTTAATATAAAATCATGTTTTAACCCAGAGGTACTTTCTCAGAGTCCAAGGCCCACTGGAATCGGTGTGGCAGGCACTGTTACGTCAGGAGAGGGCACTCAGCCAGCTCACATACATTACATTATGCACTAGGCCAGTGATGGTGAACTTTTTAAAGCTTTCAATGATAACAAACAGCCCAGTACGGCACGTGTGCCAGAGGTTCGCCAACACTGCAGGTCATGTCACAAAACTTGAGAGGAAGGGCGTAAGGGAGTTTTTCAACAGAGTAGTGGGGCTGACATGATATAGGATTCTGTTCAAGCTCCCAAACTGAGAGCATAGATTCACCTTGTTTCTGTATGTTGAGCTAGAGCAGAGTAGTGAAAAGAGAATACTACTTACCTTCCCCTAATGCAGGGGACAAGTCACTTGTCTCTCCATACTCTGAGCAGAGCACCATGACTGGCTTGACAAAGGTACTTAAGAGTGTCTGTGGGATGTGAATGGTTAAAGATAAGGTCCTCAGAACCTTTAGGACATCAGCCCTGTTCCTGGCCTGGTGGGAAGATGAGAATTAAAAACATCGTGCTCTTAGGAACCTGGCAAGGAAGGAGAACGAATGCAGCCAGAACCTCCTCACCTCTGAAAGTTCCTCATGCCAGTGACCATCTCTGCACACCCAACGTGGAATGATAAATCTACATCACAATGCTCACCAAATCCCTAAGAGGTTCTCACATGTTTTTAAAAAGTTGCTATCATGCATACAAAACCTCAAGTGAAAAGTGGCAGGATTTGAGAAAAAATGACATAGTACAAGGGGATCAGAATTTCTTTATTATCTTCTTACAAAAATCATGTAAACATCAGCACAGATCTCTCCTTATTCCTGATTCCAGAATCATCATGACACATTATCTTTACATTTAAAATAATCAGGAGAAATAAAACAAATGATTAAGTAAACATATGCAGTTTTGTTGTCTTGTTTGGAAGCCTTCCACATGAAGGCTCACTAGATCCATGTGGCACTTGGTGAGCAGGGACTTGGTGACAGAAAACAGTGGATCTTGGCAGCTTGTGCTAGCAAGGGTCATACTAGGATGCCTCATCTCTCCAAAAAGCGAAGGGTTAGTATGCTGAGCTGTTCCTGCAATGGCTACACTTTCCCTCCTTGCAAAGGAATGGTCCACATCCACAGGCTCTAAACAAGGAAGTGCAGGCCCTCCCATTTTTAACTTTTCTTTACGCAGACCTACTAGATCCAAGTCTTCCTTGCACCAGGAAAAATCAGGAATATGTAGCCACATGGAATAGAGGAGAACAATTGGGAGAATTATGCAGCTGCCTCTTTTCCCGTTGGAAGACATTTTCAAGAATTTGAACCAACTTTTTGCTCCAGTACATTCTGGAGTAGAA